TGAGAAAAGCACCCACAATAAAGCACGAAGACAAATCTCTGGCCAAAGAGGCTGGCACTGTGGGCTCCCCGTTGTGTCAGCCACAATATCAGAATGTGGGTTAGGGATATTCTGCAGGATATGCTGAAAGGGGAAATCATCCAGTGCTTTTTAATCTTTTTATGCAAGTAAATATAAAAATACACCATCTCTATTGGCTATTTCTAAATTAAATACCATTTATAGAGATGAGAAACTGGCTTTTTTATAACTACTTTCCATACAAAACATCTGTCAGTATATATTCTTCCATAATGATGCCAGTGCATACAGAGGGCCTCAGTCCATGGCAAATAAACAGCTGGAAATTTTTCTTTTAATATTTAGTATTGCTTGATTTACTGTTTGGATTTTCTATGGTAGACATAGTTTTCAAAACAGCTTATAGACTTTTAACACATCCTCATTTTAATAAAGTTCGGTTCCTGATTTCATGCATGTTTGGCATCACCACAGGAAATTCACCTTCAGAAGATTACAACAGTATAAAATTTTTGTGGTTGATAACAAAAATCAGTTTCTTACTGCTTTGAATAGAACTTTTTAAAAAATTACTTTCAAATATGGCAAAAAATATCTTACTCCATGGTAGTTTTAATAAGTACCAGATTCACCAGGTAGCCTACAACCTGCTGCATTTAAAATATACAATTGAGAAGTGTGAGGAGTATATCCTTGCCTAAACAGATGAACTGAATTTATTCAGCAAGAATGTGTTCAATTTGGTAAGAAACTTTTACTTGCAAATGACCTGAATGAGTGATTTCGTTCTACTGAATACATGCATATGGAAAGATGCTGCCTGACCCCGCTGCCTCACTAAAAAAACCATCCTTAATAAAACTATATCTACTGAGCTGAAAAAAGACTCCACAATCATCACTAACTGTGGGAAAGAATTGGGTACATTCCCTCACTGTTGCCACCAATGCTTCTCAAACCTTTCTTGGAGGGGCTTTTTTTATGCAAAGAAGAGAACAGTTTCTTCCTTCAGTCTTTCACTTCTTTGAATGTTCTAATAGGGAGGCTGGTTGCAAGGTGTCTGACTCGCATCTAAACTGAAACTGGGCAAAGACCACCACTGGCTTTCAAATACTTCTATGAATAATCAACATCCACCAGAAAGCATTTGGTATTCGCAGGCTGAAGGCTGGATTTGGACAGCAGAGCTGAAAGGTGTTTTATTCTACTGTTAGATTCTGCCAGCTGTCATGTTTGAATGAACTAGAAATCTACCCAAATAATTTTCTAAATTGTCTAGGAATTGAGGTTAGTATGCATGGAAATATTATTTATCTTTAATTTCTAAATGAATTTACATCCCAACCACCGATACGACACTAGGACTGCATAGGTAAAGCAAGTGTCTGGTTAAACCGTACGAAGGCTCGTAAATACTTTCTAGATACATACTTCACATCTTCTGTAGATTCTGATGCAAATCTAATTAACAAAATGTATTCCAGATCAGACTGTGAGGATCTGCAAATACTACCAACAAACCAAACGCCGATCTAATACAGCCATATCGTAAACTTTTAAACTTTTGAGTGTCTTTGCTCTCAAAACTCTGTAGTCTGAGCTTATATTCATAAAAGTTCCACCAGCTCCCCTGTTAAACTTGCAATTAAAGCTGACCTGATTAAGAAGACCTGCTTTCTCAGTCTTGTTGGTAGGACACATTGATTAGAAAGCCTGGGAATCCTCATTCTTATCCACACAGCGATCTCTCCCTGGGAGTTCACTGATTAATTAATGAGTGCTTTTACCTGTGCATGCATGTTTGAGCCAATCGGCCTTTGCGCATAGCATGGCTGAAGAGACAACGGCAGCTACCGAAACGCTGCATCCCCGAACTTTAATGACAGCATAGCATAGCTCCCACACAAAAGTCCTACCCAGCCATGTCTATAACATTTCAAGGTGTCAGCTTTGCTCATGTTTTCCTTAAATCGCCATCTGTTCTTAAGCAGGAAAACGTAAGCTCTTTACCTTGGTTTTTTGAATGAATAAGATGGAAAGATGAAAAAAGATGCCTGGACAGATCACGCAACGAGTCAATAAATATGTAGAATATTTGTAGATTTTTATTTACATATCTAGTTAATAAACTTCAGCAGCTTCTTGAAAGAGACCTATTTTAAATCAATGACTATCTTTAAAGAATCCGAATTATGAAATGACCTGATATAGGCATCTGGCATTTCTTAAAAGTGAAGTGTTTTCTCTCTTAAATACTGTCTCGTGACAATATGATGGTTAAGAAGATCAATGGGGAAATCGATGTTCGTGAATTTGGGGGTTTGGAGAACTTTACATAGGGAGATTACATTGTCACTCAAACTTTGGGATGAGTATGTGTAAGATTCAAACATGCTGATAAAAAAAATAACCTCCAATCCCATTAAAATGAACAGCAAACTCTCAGTGAGGTCAATATTTCATTATAAGAGATGCTTTCCAAGTCTGTGAGGTCTTTATGAGGTGATTATGTTGCTAGGAGATGTACTGATAGCCGCTGAGATAACATAAGCCAACTGTAATTTATCTGAAGGAATGAGGACCAAAAGTGACCCAAGTAATTGGATTCTCATGGAACTTCTCTCCCTTGCCCCACCGTTTCCAAGCGACATGATGTGCAGCCTTTTCTTGTCTGTTTCTCATATCCCTTTTTGAGATCCTAACCCTGCTCTGCATTGCTTTTGTAAACCCAAACCCACCAGGTTTTGATAGGACAGAGAATGGCAGATTGCGCCATAGTAGAAAGGATGCGGATGCTTGTGTCTGGATTTTGTTTGGTGTTTTTCAACTACATCTTCTGTTGTTTCCATATTGAACTTGATTGTGAACTAAAAAGTATGCTACGTGTTTTGTTATGTTGATCCTTGAGATGGAGCTGCCCTGATGACACTTCCATCCTCTTCCTACCTGATTCAGATGAAGCAGACTTTTAGGCATCTTTCATCCAACCTCTTGCTGAAAAGCATTAATCGGTTTGGGAGAGAATTGAGACTTGTAGGTCCAATTCAGTTTATATCGAGACCTCTTTTACTGACAGCACGTAAGAGCTGAATAGTGTCTGTAAATATCTATATCAGTTTTAAGGCTCCTTTACATTATTACGGTGCTACAAAGATGACTAATAAGTATTCGCCACTGGCAAACTACAACTGAGTAGGAATCTGCGTCTTTAAATGACCTGTTTTTCAGTTGCTCATATCTATGAAATAAACATTCATCGCCCCTGCCTCCTGCAAATCCTGTGTATCAGTCCCTATGCTAACCTTTTAGAGAGAATTCAGGCAGAGTTCAGCCACTTTCATGTTATGCACAGCATAAAGAAAAAGGCTTTGTGTCTTCTGGATTACCTGGTAGAACAGTTGACTCTGAAAAGCCCAAATATCATTTGCTTCACGGTTCTAATCTGGAAAGTTAAACCAAAGCATAAAGAAGAGGAAACTAGCTTTTCCTACCTTTAGAATATACTAGAGTAATCTATTCTTTGCATATCCGTTACCTCTTTCTTTCAGTTTCTCCTTCTGCCCCAACCCTTTCCCAGGGAAGGGCTGAAAACAAGGCAGCAGCAAGAGGTGGTTTTGAACACCAGCACCTTTCTTAAAAACATTGTCTTTCATTAAAAGCTGCTGTGGTCTCAAAACAGTCTTGAAAACACGAACGAACTGTAACCTGGGCATAGATGTCTGCTTAAGTTTTCACAGAGTCTGAAATAACAGCTCTGAGAGATGTGAGCCTCGTCTCAACAGGGTTTTCTCTCGTATGCTCTCTGTTTTAAACGTGAACTCTTTTTACTCTTCCTGCTCTTGCAGGCAGGCGAGGTGTAGTCACCGCATCCAGTCAATTTACTCTAGTGACAAGGCACGTATTTACTTTGGGAAAGAAACCCTGCCTATTTTTTCTCCAATTACGATAAAATAAATTCCAAGGGACCTGATGGTCATATCTGCCAAGCCAGACACCAGTCCAAGTGACTGGCTGGAATCACGCAGTAGATCTGCCTGACAGGCCGCCAGACTACTCTTCTGTCCGTAAAAGTGGCAAGCATCAGCAGCTTGAGAGAAAACAGAAACGAACTCACAGTAGACTTATAAAAGATTTAGTATAATCCAAAATATAGATTTACTGAAATCCTGAAACACAGAATTTTTTTTTTTCACTTTCTGGTACGCTTGAAATAGAATTTTTCCACAGATAAAATGTCTCAGTATTGGGACAATCATCCAAATTCAATCCTGCTAAATTATTGGCCATTTTTTTCCGCAGTGAGTTTCAAATTCTGTGTGCTTTACAGCACATACCGGGGGGAGAGACGGAGGGCGGAAGGTAGGTAGAGGGACAGACGTACATACGAGATCGGGGCAGTCTCCCTCCCCACGCGTGCTCTCTCCTGTACCTGGCTTTACCTGCCGCTGCTGCTGCCGCCCCTTCGGGTCCGCCAGAGAAATTCAATTTAACGAGGGCCAGTCAAAGCTGCCTCTCATGGCCTACAAAAATACACATCTGACGATTTTCTCTAAAAAACCCCCTGAGCTATATGAAGCGCACAGTTATGTGCGCAGGATACACAGCCCCAAACAATCTCATTTACTTCAGTGGGAGTTGCAAACACCGGCTGCTAAAACACAGCCAAGAATTACTGCGGAGTGAAGGCTGGGAAAGTAAGTGCTTGAAAACCGAGAAAATCCCAAAGCTAAGGTTTCTGCCGCAGCATTCAGTCGTTTTCGCTGCACATCTATATGTTTTATTATTATTTAATCTATATCCTGTGAGGTGTGTAGGATGTGTAATAAAGCCAAAACGATATTGCTTTGGACTTGTTAGTATTTGTAATTTCCTGACTTTTGAATATTTGATTTTTCAGCCTCAGTAATGCGCTAATGCTGTTTGAGGTGTTTAATATATAATTGGCGTGCATTTTTTCCCTCTTTTTAACTGCTGATACGATGATTGATTCCTGGAGGAAGAATGAAACGGCTGACGTTTTTTTCTTTGGCCCCGTACCGCAGCACCTATTTCAGACGCTGCCTCACGGCAGTGGTGCTCTGCCAGTGAGGGAAGCGTGGTGTCGGGGGGATTTGGCTGCTGGGTGCCTCTCGGGTGATGAGGCCGGGAAGCCTCTCACGGACGGCGTCGTTTTTCCTTGCTTTCCAGATTCGCCGGGAGCACTCGAGGGTATAAAAGCTTCTGGTGGGCGTCTACGGGACGGGGACAGTGCGTTTGCTCCAGCGCCTCGGGAGACTGCTTGTTTAGCACCGGTAAAAATAAAAGCAGGTTTAATTAAAAACTTAAAACCTTTAGCACGAGAAGCTCCGCTTCCCCGCTGTGCACAACGAACGTCGAAGGGACGCCGCGATGCCGCGGCTCCGGGACCCCCCGGGCGC